GGGATGCCTGTACGAAGCGTGAAGCGGGGCGAGGGGCGGGGCGGAGCGCTGCCGGTGGGAGGGGCTTAGGGGAGGGGGCGGGGCATGCGGCCGCCGCGGGGCCTGAGGGGGGCGCTGCTGCCGGCCGGCGCGCGCGGGTGGTGGGAGCCTTGGCGCGAGTCTCCTGTGAGGGGCGGCCGTTTCCCCGGGGCCTTGGCTCCGGCTCGTCTCCTCACAGGTTCGGCTTGGATGAGCCCCGCCACCTGCCCCACGGCCTGGTCCTTCGTCGCCCTCAGGAATCCCTGACCCCAAAGGTGTTTTTTAACCGAGGCACAGGGGGATTTCTGCCGGCCCTCAAGGGGCCTGCCCCCAGGGCCTGCCATCCCCTGAGGGAAACAAGGTGCCCAGGGAGAGGAGAGCAAGCGACTTGGCCAAGGACTGTGGAACTATCATAGATCTGTGTTTGCCACGAAAAATATTACCTCATGTTTCACAGGTCACTCTCTATCCCTTTGAAACTTTGGGCATTGGCTTAAATTTCTAGAGCTGGTTCTGTAGCATTGGTCAAATCACGGGAAGTGGAAGGACCGATTCACAGAGGTTTCTCCAGACATTACATAACCGTGGAGTGCCACAGAAGCACAATCTTGCGTTGCTGTCTGTGCTGTATGCTTGGAAGAGAACCTAATTAATCTTGACTAGAAACCTCATCCAAATACAGTGATTTTTGATGATGTGCTTCTCCATGGATTCAGCTACATTGAAGCTTAGGGGAATCTGCAGCCAATAAATGAACAATGCACCAAATGTGGGAAACCAGCCTGGTTTTGGCCACAGTAACTCTCTGCCTTCAGTACTGTCACTCTGCCATGGGAATGCTGAACTAAATTAGTCTAGCAGCCCCCACATCTACAGGTACTTTAAAAATGTCTAATTGCTTACATATATTTTCCCTTCTAACAATGAACACCCACTTATTTTTTCCAGAGCAGCACAACTGGTCTATAGAGAACATACCAGGAAGCCAAGCGGCCCATTGCCTGTGCTGTTTCTTTTTATGTAAGTCTTTTATGTAGATGGGAGACTATACAAACAAAATGGAGATATTAGTGAAGTAGTCTTAAGGTGTTAACAGCAATCAGTAGGACTTACTGTTTGGAGGACCAAGAGCTGTACTTAGGTTCTATTGAAATTGCCAATTTTTGACAGATTTTCTTAAGGGTGGAGAAAATAGTAAGACTTTTGATGAAAACCAGCTGAAATTGTTCCCTTTAAACAGGAAACAATTGGTGCATGGAAGCAGTGGGACAATTGATTTTTTTTATTTAAAAGATTTAGAAATTATGTTGCACCAACAATGGTAAGCCAGCAGCCTTGAAAAGAAGTTATTTCCAAGAATCATCTGCAACTATCCTATAAACTGGCTTTAAGTGGTATTTAAACAGCTTTTAATACAAGCATTATATAAAAGTCTGCCTCAAAATGTGTTTGTCTTCAAATAACTCAGCTTCATGGCAAAGGGAATAAAGGAAGGAAGAGTGGAGAGGGTACACAAAGGGAAGATATGGTTTTCCTTGGCTTTTGATATGCAGGCAAATCTGCAGTCAGAAATAGTGACAGAATCCAGTTTTCATACCCTGCAGGCTGTGTGGTCACTTTATCTTTCTCAAGAGTTATTAGGAGATGAGTACATGCCTAAGGATGCCATGTGGGAGGACACAGCTAGCTATAGGTTCTCCAGAAATCTTTGGGGCCTCAGACAGAGCTGCAGTATTGACAGATAGGCAGCCTAAATCAAATTGCTCCTCTTGGATTGAAACGTTGCCCTAGATGTAGACCAATGCCAGACTTCCCTGGTGTGGTGCTGGAGTGGGTGTTACTGGTGTGGTGCTGGGAGGGGGCTCGGAACCCACCTGCCACAGTGTTCTGAGCCGTTGCTAGGAGTTGTTACCTGCTCATCTGCTGGTAGACTTCCTCCAGAGGCCATCATGGAGCAGCAGCACATTTCCAAGAGGCTCGTCTAGCATACGCCTGCCCAGGGGTTTTGGATCCACAGAAAAAACTCTTCCTCTGGACTCCATGGAACATACAGAGTCTTCGTCAGCAGCTGGAGATGAAACTAAGAGTGAGTTTCCATCTCTTTTGGTCATTTCTTCCTCCTCACTGCTGCCCCAGCACTACTCTTCCATTCCTGTATTTCAGTATCTCAAACTTTTTAAGTCCTTGTGCTACCAGACAGTTCATCTTCTTCAGAGAGCCCCCAGTGCCCCAAATTTTCTTAGTATCAAGAGGCGCTCCTGCTCTTGAGCTGAAATGTTTGGAACAGAATCATAGGCAGATGACAAAAGGAAAAGGATGTTTCTTCAGCAGAAGAGGATGGAATGAGATCCTATGCTGCTACCTGCAGAAAGTGCAGAATTGAAGGGTGACCTTGGAGAAAATCAGGACAGTGTTAGGGGAACTGTAATGTAAGTTTTCTCAAGTGTCTAAACTTTTGGTAGCATAGAACAAAGAGAAAATCCACCTTCCCTGGAGACTAGATAGACTGCCATCAGGTACAGTGATGAGAGTGACAAGAGTCTCATCTAGAAGTGTGAATCTTAGCATTCTTCCTAAATATTTTGTGGGCTTTGGATTAGTCACAGCTTTCATAGTTTTAAGTCTCTTATGTCCAGCAAGATAACTTCATGCAATAAGAAGCTTAAAATCAGGATTCTGGCTTCTAATTAAAGTTAGCTACATTCGTTATTAGTGGTTTTTGTTTGTTATTTCACTGCTGATCATTTGCTGACCTACAACTGCTCATGAATTTTGATGGAATTTGCTGAATAATTTTGGCTAGAAATAATATAAAGTAACCTTACTTCGTATCATCTGTTTACATTTATTGGCCTGGGAGTTAATTAGCCATTCTGGAAGTAGGAAACTAGGATTCAGTTCCCCCTTCTGGCTGACAAAGATTGAAACACACATGTATTGAAAAGTGACCAAGAACACCATAGGAAAGGTTTTGATTCCTTCTACTGATCCTGTTCCACTTTGCATAAATTCCTGAGCCAGAGAAACAGCAGCAGGTCAGACATCCAACCTCTCAGAAACATCAATACATGATAGTGTGTTCCAGAGTGGGTCTTCCTTTGCTTTTGTTGCATGACCGTGAAAATTAAGGATTTCATCCAATTGAAATGTAGTATTCTACTGAAGAACAAAAAAAAAAAAAAATTAAAAATCCTTCCTTATTCACTGAGAAGGAAAAACAAATTAAAACCATTCCTATAGACATTCTGAGCTGTCATTTAGAGCCTGATCCAAAGCTTTACTGAAGCCACTGGAAAGATGACCAAGTTTCCGTATATTACAGAAGAGGGGTAAAGTGCTGAGAATTTTAATTAAGTGCTTCCAGACTGTTGGAGATGGTCTCAAGCAGTTAAATTATTGCTACCCTTCTGTCAGAAGTGAAGTTTAGAGATTACATCTTAAATCAGAGACAAAAAAGTAATTTTTAACAGAAAACAGTTTGTTTTAGGAGTCTTAAGCACTCATGTGACAGTCTTAACTTTTTCTGGCTCTTGATGAGAAGAGGCTTGGGAGACGGAGGATTTACTTTATTGCCCTATTATATTTCTTGGTGGAGACACTGGGATAATGTCATTTATATTGTATTACTTGTATTATGCATTATAATGGATAGCGGATGTTCAAGAGTATTTTATTTCTCTAGCTGCTAAATATGGCAAGTACAGTCCCTTCCCTAAAGTCAGCTGTAGGGTGTGAAAGCAATCTGCTGGAAATTTAGAAATTAATCTCCTCTATAAATATTGATTTGAAAAATCAAATTTTTATTGGAATTAAATCTTTTGTTGAAGTCCTTAACAGCTGACAAATCCTCTGTTATGTTATTCTGTACCTGTTCTCTACCTTCCCTGAATATATCACCATTTGTAATGAATACTTAGCAGCAGTATTGCTTTTTCTGTTGGTAAAATGTGTGACTTTAAAGAAATGAGTATATTTATTTGCAGAAAGTTAGTTTATGGAGTACACTAACTTTTTATAAGCGTTACTATTATGGCTTTTTGGCAGCAACTCAGCAGGCATTGCCTATCTCGAGAAGCAATTAAGGATGAGGGACTTAACTGTATGGACAATTAAAAATGGGTACAGAACCTGCTCAAACATTTCCTCAGATGTTTTATTGAAGAATGATATCACACTTTCAACAAGTAAAATTTTCCTCTCACTTTTTGAAGGGCAATTGCCACCACTGGAAAATGTCTCTCAGCACATGCTGATTGCAGCATTAAATGCAAATATTAGGATGAGTGAACAAGGATTGGGTCTCATAATCATACAGAATGGGCCATATCTCCAGATAACAAGCCTTGTTGAGAAAAGCTCTGCAGCTAAAGATGGAAAGCTAAAACCAGGTAAAAAGAAACCACAGTGATATTCAAATTTAATAGCATTGAAAATATTCTTGTTCCATGTTTATGCTTTGAGCCTGTCTCTGATTTATTTACACTTACACAGATCAAAAGAAACTCAATTTAAAATTACAGAGAAAAGAAACTAGCACAAACTGTATAAAGCTCAGTGCCAGCATTCCATTGTAATGAAATACCTGTGATCTTAAAATAGCTGATATGGGTGACTGTTTCATAATCAGACTAAGATTTAAGTCTATATATTGTTCTCCAGCAAAAACAGATTTCCTGTTCATCAGCGGGGTTGTCCAAAAACAGTTTGACTATTACCTTTGTATAGCAACTAACTGGAATAATATTCTTTGTTCAGTGCATTGTTGTTTGAGTCATTTCACTCTAACACAAAACTTCCCCAAGGCTTGACATTAATTTGCATTATTGTTTGCTTTTTGTTTCTCTTTATTATACAGAGTAGTTACAAAGTGGCAATGGACTAAGCTCTGTGCTCTAACAATCTACACAGGTGTTCGTTTGCTAAATGCTTTAAACCTGAAATGTGCCATATCAGTACCAACAGACTATTACTAGTTATTAAGGTTTCTAGTGGAACATCAGACTCCTGTATTAAGCTTGTAATTGAAAGCTCTGTAAATTTGACTGCTTCGTATGGGTCCCTAGACCAATTACATTAGACTCATGAACTACAGTTTGGGGATGACAGCGTGCTATGTTATTACCATTTATTAAATTGTCTCTAACATAGAAATCTATGAAGCTAAGACTTGAGTGTAATGAAGTAATTCAGAAATTTACTGGCTGCATATTGAAAAATCATATCTTTAAATTAGAACAATTTTCCCAGCATTGCCTTTATAATTTTGGCAGTCCTTTCTTCTCACACCTTTCAGAGAGAATTAGAATTCCAAGCACTAGGAAGAAAGATCTACTTCTGTGATGCAATAAAAGAGACCAAGTGGAGTTCTTAACCTCTTTTTGAGCTAGGCTTTGCACTTTTGATCCAAGTATAAAAATCAGTGGAAAAATCATGAGCATAAAATAGAAATGGATTTGGATTTGAACAAGTACTTTTTATTTAGTTATTATCTTAGGAGTTGATAGCTTTCATCTATCCCCTAAAAAACCAAAACCCTATGGTATACAAAATCATATATATGATATGGATTTCGTGGGGTTTTTTTACATCTATAAGGTAAAATAATACAGAATATTAATCACCGAAACTAAATAGCTCTATTTGCAACAATGTGAAAAAGGCAAGCTCCAAAAGCATTTTCAATAAAATTAACAGAGGTAGTGGGAGGCACTAATGTCTTAAAACCCTACAGTTAGACTCACCAAACTCATTTGTACATATGCATGCCTTGTTCTCCGCGCCAGTAAAAAGAAACAGGGCTGCTTAGTATGTGTGTTTCCTCAAAACCACCTTCATAGTGCAACCTCCACATAAGTCTTCAGTGGCCACTAAATGATATCACGATCACAAAACTGATAAGTGAGCTGAGAACTGGGTGGTTCAGAGTCTAGATGCTGGAGCAGAGGAAGAGAATTATCTACTTCTGCAGTTCAGACGTGGCTTTGACTCACCTCAGCAGTGTTACCAGCACAGTACGGGCAGTAAAAAACAGAATTCTGAAAGAATCTATTAAAAGCCAGGAGTGTCTTGCAGATATTTTAAAGCCCAAGTACAATATCTCTATGCATTTTGAAACATGTAATTTGGGTGATTAACCTTTGGACGAGAACTTACATAAAACTGTTGATAAAATGTTTTCTGTTGCTTTTTTATTATCTGCTGTCCTGGTACTTGTTCCAGAACTACTTATTTGCACCCCAGTAGAACCAGTATCTTGTGATAAGCTAGAGTGGAGAGAGGATGTGATGATGACAGTAGTAGGAAGAGCAGTTAGTGGCAAAAGTGAACAAAAAAATGGTAGTCAGTGGTTCAGGTAGACAGCTTTAAAGCCTGTCAATTTTTGCTATAGGCATTTTTAACCCAAAAGGGTTAAGAAGAAAATAGAGCAGACGGAGAGAGACTCCTTGCTCTGCCTAATATGGCAGCAGACAGCTGTACCGCTTGTTTAAATCCCCTCTGCTGTTCTGTTGCAGTTCAGTACATAATGTTTACTGAAACCGCTCCTCTGTGCAACTGTTTCTGCCAGGCTGCTGATGGAGCTGTAGTGCATTGCAGATGGATTCTGCTTGCCTTTTGCAGTCTCCAAAATTACAGGTTTATCCAGTAATTGCAACTCCTCCCAGACCCTCAAAGCCCATCATGTTATACCCCATGGCATACATAGGTTTTGGGGCTTTGGTGCTTTCTTGTTCCTGGCTGCAGTGCTGCTTTTTGCAAAGCTGCAGCTCAGTGCTTTCCACTGGCAGGAGGTGGTAAGAACATTATTTGTAGCTTATCCCTTAAAAGAAAATAACAAATAAACAAAACATCACCACCACTTTTTGCTGGAACTCTTCAGTTAGATTCTGCACCAGCTCTTGCAGGCGTCTCCTGCTTCTCCCCCAGCTTTGCTTGACATTGTGTGACAACCTACCCATGTGTTGGGTGTCCTCAGCACAGAGGGACAGGCACCACCCACAGAGGAACGTCAAACCCTGGAATCCTCCAGGGGCACAGACACACACAAGGTGACACAGCTGTTACACAGATTCTCCAGCATCCACCTGGGTAACCTCAGCCACTGCAGAGGAAGGGGTCTGCTTGGCTCCGTACCAACCGATGCACAGCAAGGTGACACACAAGGGTAGGCAGCAGAGACGTATAGACAGGGTATTCCAGCTGTGAAAAAGTTCAGGGATGCCATGGCCAGATGCCAGCAGAACTGTTAGGAGTGCAGCTGTGTAACCTCGACTCAACCTTGCTGGAATCTGGTCCCAAACAGCAGTCCTGGTCAGACTATTTACTGTTGTACTTTTATCTTGCTTAAAAAAACCCACAGAAAGGGAAGGTAGCACTGAACAGGCAATCTAAAGTATAGCACAATCATTCAAAAAAAATCCCAAAGTAAATAAAGGACTGCAGCTTTCCTTAGTGTTGTGAAAAGGTTAGTCATTAAGAGCTAAAAAACTTTCATTAAAAAAGAAAGCAAAACCAAAATTGCATCCAGTTGGTTTGAAGAGGTGCTAAACACATGCTTTTATATACAAATGTAAAATTATAGTGGTTAAGACTATGTATTTTGTAATATGAAAATAAAAAAAATTGCAAAAGTCTCTTAAACTGACTACTGTACATTTTGTTCCTTGGCAGGTGATGTTCTAATAAAAATTGGACATACTAACGTTTTAGGATGGACTCTGCGAGAGCTTAGGCAACTCCTGCACGACATTCCTATAGGAACTTCTCTACAAATCAGAGTTTACAGAGATTTTGTTGAAGTACCTCATCACTGGCAAAATGCAGCTGAATTCATTCCTGAAGTAAAGCTTCCTGTGATGACAGCAGAGTAAGAAATAAGTATTGTGCATAACTAAAATTTCACACCTTGCTTATTATTCTAGCAAGAAAGAATAAATAGCGTAATAGCTTTTTCATTTTAGGATAAAACATTAGTCTAAAGATTTACTTTCATTTATTTTTCTGAAATAGAAAACTGTGATTTGAGATGAACAAACACCAAAAGTTTACTTTCCTAGTTACAGTGAGGACAGGGTCAGGGCAGACATTAATTTTAGATATGCCCCTTCCCACCTCCAGAGAGACCATAAAAGGTCTGGCTGCCAATGTCACTGAAGTCCAAGAGGCTGTGGATTTGTAATAGCCAAGGCCATCATCAGCTACTTACCATTGTCTACATCCAAGGTGGAGGTCATGCTACAACTATGTAAAAAGCTTATTGCTTTCTTAATCAAACTACTGACAGCGGTTAACGATTAGGACTTTTAAAATTAAACTTCAGGAAAAATAAACTCTTCTTGTGAGAGCCGCTACATACAGCAGCTTTTAAAAATATATTGCTCTCAATCCTAGAGGTGGCTCAAATAGCCAGCATAATTAATCTAGATGGGATATAAAGCAGTTACAAGTTTTCCTGAGGCACAAAGTTTTAATAGAAAAGAAACCTCAGGGTAGGGGAAGGAACAGAAGTACAAAAAGAAGATAATTAGGCTAGAACACCATAACGGAAGCTCAGGCAGCAAGGTGATTAAACCTCTACGCTTAGGTTTAAATACATCAAGTTATTCACTATTCTGAAGGAGCAGAAAAAGGACAGCTTGCTTTTCCGTTGACCAAATTTCAATTTAGCTCTTAGAGTCCAAAGGAAACTGTGCAAAGGACTATGAATAATAGTATTAGTTTGATATTGGAGAAGCTTCAGAAATAAGTATTTGCAGAAAGACTTAAGACTCTCTGAGTAGTTAACTAAAAGGCTGTGGGAATTATTGCACGTTAAAGTAATACCATGCTGTTTATTTTCAGCACAAGTGAAGATGCTGAGGATGAAGACAACACCGGGTCCAGTAATGACGATGACGTAGACCTGGAAACTTTCCAGCATGCATCTTCCCAGTCACACTGTTGTGAGTTCACACAGAAGTTCCCAGCAATATCTGATACGGGCCAGACACTCAGGGTAGGCACAGCCACTGGTTGTGATGCTGTACTTCACAATGATGCTGATACATTGTGCAATCCTAAATTTGATGCTCGTGGCGTTAGACCTCCTTCATACTGGGGTATGGAAAACAAAGAGACCAGTTCCACTCCCTCCTGCCCTTCTGCATCAGATACATCCCAGCTGGAAGAATTTACCATTGTTTCAGAATAGCTCAAAACGTGACTTCTTCAAAACCTAAATTTCTGTTTTCTTTCAATATATGCCTAGACTTCAAAACAAACAAAAAAAATATCTGAGTGTCCCAAGATATCTGAAATGATATATTAGCTATGTAAAGCTTTTTCAGCAATGCCCTCCCCTCAAAGATGTCTATCTTTCTACTTGTGGAGAAGCCATTCAGAAGCACTGTCTCTGCCAGTCACAGACAAGCAGCAGTCACAAGCTCTAAGAAAGTCTAATATATTCATCTTTGCTTAAAGGTAAGTTTGTTCATTTACTTGATATAAGGATGGCACATTCAGTTTATCAATAACTTTTCCTGAACATACAAGAATTCATGGACAAATCAGTGGCAATTACAGTATTTGTCTACATCACAGTCATGATTTTTGATATATCTATTTTTTACATCAACTAAAAGTCACTTTATTTTCTGACTGTAGTTTTAGGTTCAGTGTACAGAACCAGACTTATCAGGATTAGATGCTATTTTCAGTAGAAAAAAACAAACACATTGTATGAACTCAGCACTTTATTTGATGAGTGCAAGCCCACAATTACTCCAGATTAATTTTCTGAAAGAACTGAATTCATAAATAACAAGTTAGTAGTAATTTAGAACATAGGTGACTTAGAGGTCAGGTCCATCTTGAATCCGCATCCCGGTTTTGTTTTTACAACTCATCGAGGAAAGGAGTATTTCCCAAATCCCCACTAGCTGCCATTGATTTCTTCCCATTGACAAACTTCTTTGCAGCCTGAAAATAAATCACAAATATAGATATAAGGAAATATCCACTACAACAGAGTTTATCTTCCTGTTCATAGTCTCAGCTTCAAGTTATTAAAACAAAGCAATCCCAACACTACTATATCAAGGCCAGGCTGGATGGGGCTTTGAGTGACGTGCTCTAGTGGGAGGTGTTGGGGGGTTGGAACTCAATGATCTTTAAGGTCCCTTCCAACTCAAACCCTTCTATGATTCTATAGTACACCAAGTAAACAATTTCCTTTTTGCTGTCTAAACTTCATTACTTCTGATTTAGTTTCTTGTTACTTTTTAATCAAAACAGAAATGGCAGAATGACCTCAGATATAAAAGGCACAAACTCTTTGAAAATGATTATTCTGAGAATAATTATTACACCAGAAGATACAGTGGCTCTCTCCTTACTACTTACTATTGCTAGTTGCTACTGCAACACAAATTAGCAGTGACTGTGAAAAAACAGTTTTCTTATCTTAGAATTTCTCTTTCTGATGGATTTCTGTATGAAGTTTGCTTCAAGTATAAGTAACACGATAATCTGGAGTAACAACTCAGTTGTTAATTTATCATTAAGCACACTAAATGTTCTAGACTGGGGAATCCTAAAAGCCTTGACACAGAAGTGCCTGCGCTGCAACGAATATGAAGTTTTCCATGAATATTAGTTGGCAGTCTTGGTAAATTTAAGTGAAGTAGATAAGAATTTCACATACTCAGCTATACTAGTTTTGTAGTATAAGGATTAAAGGGTCTTCTGTTAATAAAGTAAGTAAAGACATCAAAAGATGGGATTTGTAAATGAGTTGCTTTTTTTGAAGATAGTATATGTGTGTGTTTACAAACACAAAGAAATGAGCACCAGTTTTGTATAAAACAAATTTACACAGTGATTAAGAAACACCTGTAGATGCCGACACATACTTACATTCACAACATCAGCAGTGGCTACAGAGTCGATTTTTTGAGCAACAACAGATGGTGATGTGTGTGTGCCAGAAACCAGTGACTCGGAGCCAATTTCATTCAGTAACCCTTCTGCAGACTCCACTGACATCAAATAGGTGGCTTTCAGCTGATTTCTGCCATCAAACAAAGCATTAAGGATGAGTGAGCATCTAATTCCTGTTATTACCTTCCCCACTGCCCCTGGAAGTGCAATGAGTTTTTGGTGCTTTTTAAGTTTTCAAGATTCCTCTTCATTTTGAAGTCTTTTCAAGTACGGAAGGGTTCTGTAGTTAGAGAAGAAGCCCCACAAATAGGCCAAGCATGAAAACGACAGGGCAGTTGAACATCTACTGCCTTGGAGTGATCAGCCACCCCACACAATCAGAAAATCTGTAGCTCAGAATTTGTTTCTGTTTGAAGCGACTAATGCAGGTACCCCAGGAATGAGACAAACTAATCTATTAAGGTTAAAAATTAAGAAACTGGAATGCTTTTTAAACTTATCAAGAACAGATGTAAGCAGAACAATTTTACTGTAAGCGACAAAGCAGCAATGAATGTAAATGGTTTGGCTCCGACAGGAAGTTTATACTGTTTCTTCTGTTTCACGTAGCCTCACTGCTACATATGAAAGTCTTATTTTTATATGCTAGTTCTTTTGTTATTTTTTAAAAGTCAAAACAGTAGAAAATGGTTTATTCCAATAGAATACGATTAAGTAGCTTGGTATTTTTGACTGAATTGCAAGAGCCTGCAAATATCACTGACCTTGAATTAGGGTTTTTTGGTTGGTTTTTTTTTGTCACTAAAGGAAAAAGGGTAATAGAGAAAGTATGTGATATGCGAAGCCATTCCAGAAGGGAAACTCAAAAAAAAAAAAAAAAGCCACGGCACTGCGTGTAACACCCTAATACTAGGCAGCTTTGTTACAAAAAAAACCCAAACACCAACCCAAACACTAGCAAACAAAACAAACTCATAACACACAAAACTAATAATGCCAAACATAAAGGTCCAGAATTCACCATTTAGCTATTAGTGATTAAGGTACAGCCAATCATGTCTAGGTTATCATGTTTTGTGTAATCAAGCTTTACATGAGTCTTGTATTTTATGTATGCGACAATATTTTAATTTTGGTACTTGAGTGAATTTGTACTATATTGTTGCATTGTGCAACTACAGTTTCAGAGGCTCAGGACAGTTTAACACCACTTGGAGATCAAGCACTGACTAATGTGGCACAACCTTTTACAAATTAGAGAGCCTAAAACTTTGTTGGCATTACTGCAGATCTAATAGTAATTTTCCACATCTCAAATATTCCTAGGGACACGTATTTCGAGCACTTGGATGTAGCATCACTAATTCAGTGCTTTACACTTGCAGACCTTCATTACTACTATTCTTTGAAGATGCAGAAAATTGCTTAATATAATTGTTTTGGGAATTGCTGTAGTGCGACTGTAAAGTGAATTACCTAAATAATGCAATTTAAGTTTCTAATTTAAATACATCTTAATACTACAGAGTGTGATTAAAACGACAGAATCTGCTGATACTTGCTAATTTCTTACGTTGAAACCGTTTTCAGAAAACATTAACACTTGTCTGACAAGTTTCTATTAGGAAATACCACTACCAGAGAACCAGTACAGCTTTGAAAAAAAAAAAAGAGTATTGACAGTGCTTCAGTTTAAATGCAGGAAAGCGAGCTGTTGCCCATGGAAATAATTACAAGACAATGATAAGCTTTGCTGTACAGAATATTCTTAAGTGTTTGACAAGTAGCTACATGTTAAAAAACTTCTCTTTACAACACACACAAGTTCTTTATGCACTTACTTTGCATTTGTGACATCGGCATCAGTGACACCGCCCTGAGCAACTGCCTTTATCTGGTTCAAAGCAGCTTTAATGACCTGAAGAAAATTAAATAATTTAAGACTTCTTCCCACATTAAATTTCAACATGTTATTTTTCTTATCTGACATCTTAAAAACCTCAGGGAGAGCAGCTGACCGTGCTAGGATTGTCTGCCTGAACTCAATTCTGAACAGCTTTAGAACAAAACTAAAAGCACTGTAATAAATGCCCAAATGAGACACAAAAAAAGTGTGGATTTAAGCTGCAACATCACATTAATTTGTATAGTCTCACCATTTTTCTTGAGTATTCAGTTCTGCCAGCTTCAAAAGCCACCACATTCCTCATGTCATGCTTTGGCTTACACATGTAAATCGGCAATTACAGTCAGCAATTCGAGGTATTTTACTACTACTATTAGGTATTTGTACTTCCCAGAAAGCAAGTCTCACCCCCAGCTTAGAGCTATATCATAACCGAACATGCAGCTTTCTTATATAAGAAACCAGATGAATTGACTTTTCTTTAGATTAATCAGTCACCATCTCAAATCAAAACACTACTTTGAGGGTTATGTTGTCAATACTTCAATTCTAATCGGCAACTCACCTCCCCAGCATTTGGAGCTTGGGATATGGTATAAACCCCAAAGAGCCCAGAATCAGAGTAATTAACGTTAAATGCGGAAGCCTGCAAAACAAACATCATCATCATCATCATCAACTGTTTCAAGTATCAGAACAACTCAGCATCAAGCAAAGGAAAACTATTAGGATCTAAAATACTGTAATTCAGGAAGCTAAACTCCCTCTGTGCAGAGAAGAGACCAGATTGGAAGGCTGCCGCTGAAATATCATAACTTGTGCAAGAACGAACTAATTAAGATTCTAGCTGGAGGTAGTAACCTCCCAAAGGATAATATGCATTTTACTGTACAGCAACCCTTTGAACTTACATCAAATGGCTGGGTGGTTGCTTTAGCAATACCCTGGGAGAGTTTGCTGGTCACGTTGCTTCCCCTCTTGATAAGGGGTCCAGCACCCAAAACATGCTGGAGAACACTGAAGGCGTTTGCTTCTGCACTTCCAACGGCAGCTCCTTCTGTGACAATCGCAGCATGGACAAGGCTATCACCGTTCTGCTGCCTGATTTCTCCTAAAAATACAACAACAGAATAAAAGGTAATGCAGTGTTCAGTAAGAAGCTACTGTACATTCAGAGGTATGGAAAGGAAACATTTCTATCCAGGAATCAGCTTCACGAAAGAGAACCCAGGGTGTGAAGTTACTGCATGGCCACTCAGGAAGATGGTAAGAAGCTGTCAATAGGCTGTAGGTCATTTTAGTAAGTCCTTTACATGCAAACATTTTCTTGCAATCACAAAACTAAGTACCTTCCTACGCCTTATTTG